AAGAACTAAGTTTTTCACATTCCCAAAGCTAACAATGCCAAAAATCATGAGATGGCAATACTGGCAGTGTGGGGGGAGGGTGGCAGCCCAGCTCTGGGGGGCTTTGGGATTTTTGCGGCAGAGAAGGGTGGCTTTAATAACTCATTAACTGCCACTGTCAAATCTCCCAGCCCAAGAAGAACCCCATGGGTTCCACGGGCTGCATTTGAGCCATGGGCCACAGGTTGCGCACCCCGGTCCATACCATGGTACGCAGAGCACAAAGGGGCACAGATTCCTCAGAGGAACAGGAAAGGCCTGGAGATGCGGGGGCTGCTCCTGCCTCCCCTCAGTTTTTATGGGGACATCTGCCTAGGAGCGTTGACGTATGGGACCCGCCAAGTAAGTGCAGCAGCAGCGACACCCCTCGCCCTCCTGCAGCCAGACCCATTGCTGGTCTCACACGGCCCTTCGCACCTCCCCTCACCCCAGGAGAGAGCCATGGCCACAACGCATGCGCACCCCACCCATCGCGTTCCGGCTATAAGATCGGGCAAAGTTCGGGCGGCGCCTTCACTGTTTATTATTGCGCATGCTCCATGCTCCTTTCTCTTGGGTCGAACCCAACCAGCGGCTTCGGCGCTGTGAGTGAGCATGCGCAGAGAGCGGGCGCGCGTGCGCAATCACCCTGCCGCGTGGGTGGGCGGTGCAAGCTGCGCGGAGGGAGTCTGGCTAGGCGGAGCGGAAGTGCGGTCGCAGAGTAAAGGTGCCGCGCGCCTGGTGTCTGGGATGTCGGGCCGGGCGCCGCGCAGGGACGAGGAGGAGGCCCGGCTGCGCCGCAAGGAGGAGCTGAACGGAAAGGTCCGGCGGCGCGGGGCGCGGCGGGGCCGCGAGTGCAGCGCGAGACTGGGCGTGGCGGACGCTGCGGGGCGCGGAGAAGGCGGGAGCGGCTCTTCGGCTGCGCGAAGTGGGCTCGAGCGCGGTGGTACTGGCCCCACGGCCGTGCCCTAGCAGGGCCCTGCCCGTCCCCACTGCCCTGGAGGCCTGTCCAAGAAAGGAATGAATGTCCCTCCCGGCCCCGGCACAAGGAGGCAGAAGGAAAACAGAAGATCTTTTCTTTTCCTTTTCTGGAAGGAAAAACTCCCCAAAAGCAGCTTCCTGCCTGCCCAGAGTGCAGCCTGCTCCGACCTTGCACTCTTGAGTTAAGTGAAATTCCTCCTGAGCAGCCCCTGGCACCAGACTGGGCGGGCAGGGTCTTGGCAGGGGCTGCCCGGGGCCCCGTGGGCAGCATGCGCTTGGCAGGGTGGTGGGATGGGACCACAAACACGTAGGAAGCGCAGTAGCGGCCTTAGGGCAACCGTCCAGGACCCCACACTTTATAACAATAAAAATTAATTATGCTAAATATTTGTATTATCAATAATGTATTAAGATACTTTCATTGAAGTTTCATAGACAGGGCAAAGTGAAATTGAAAATGCCTGACTTGTATATAGGTCATCAAAATTAAGCATCTAAGGGCCCCAAATGACTCTTTTTCCCAGGGCCCCAACAACCTGAAGTCCACTGCTGGGAAGTGGCATGTGGGAGCGGAACGATCAGGTGGGGGCCAGGGCCAGGATGGTGGGGCTGGGGCATAGCCATGATTTGCTCCCTGCATCATAGGGCTGTGCAGAACATGCATTGAAGCTCTACCTCAGCCCCACGCTGTCACAGCCCTGTGATCCCAGCTCCTTCCCACCTGTCCCGCACTTAATCACCACTTCCCGCCCGCCTGCAGTCCCATCCCATCCACCTTGCTGAGTGTGCCCTCTCTGTGGGGGTCCTGGCTGGTCTTCATGGAGGCCCTGCCTCCTGTTTTGCCTGGCACCCCTGGCAGTGAGTGTGGGGCAGATGGGCCCGAGGCCAGGCCCCACACCCCCACTTGCATCGGCTCACCAAAATCCTAAAGTGGCTCTCCAGCCAAAATAATTGCCTACCCCTGGTTTAAGACCTTAGTGCAAAACTCATGAGGAATGAAAAGACCCAGTCCCAATTAACGTTAAAATGTACGGAATTATCATTTATTATTTTGGACAACGTGTGTGACGTCATGGATGAAGAATAAGTGTCATTGCATAGTTTATGAGGTGCTTATTTTTCCAAATCCTTACATTTTTATTATATTTTTATCATTATGTCTTTATTTTTCTGGACAAAAATTTGTCTCGAATGCGAGAAATGTACAATTCAGGAATCGGGCTGTGGATGTACAGTAGTGATCACAGACAATTGCAGAAAAAAGGTTCATGTTATATACAAATTCCTTTCCAAGACATCTATTTATGACTAGTTCAGATGCCTTTTTATTTCTAGTTTCAGGTCAAATTAATTTTTGCAAAATGTACTTGTTTCAATCAGCAATGTGCCCCAAAATATATAGGCTGTGTATCAATGGGCTGTTTTTATGTCTAAATTCTAGTCAATTAAGTGTGATTAATTGTTTTTATCATTTGTCAGCCCTAAAAAAAATTAGTCACAATTAAGATTTTATAAAGATTTAAAAAAATAGTTGCAATTAATCACAATTTTGATTACACAATTAAACAATAGTCAGCACCCAACAGCCCAGAGCCCATGCACTCTATGGCTCCTCCCCTGCCACCATCAACAGTACATAGCTCCAGCCCTGACCCTGGCTCACCCTGCACCCACTCGACTTGTGCCAGAACCCGCGCACACTGCCCAGACCCTGGCCCACCCTGTGCATGCTTCAGACTTGTCCGCCCATGCTGAGCAGCAGCGGTGGTGGCTGGGCTCAGGGCAGGGGAAAAGTTGCCTTGCTGCTGCCAGACCCTTCTTGCTGCAGCCACCCAGAGCCCACACCTGAGCTGCCCTGCGGCTCCTCTGCACTGCCACCACTGCCCTGCTGTATGACCCAGAGACAGCAGTGACGGTGGTGGAGAGGAGCCACAGGACAGCCTTGGCACAAGCTCCAGGCGGCTGCAGCAAGAAGGGCCCAGCAGTGGTGAGGGAGAGGGGCCACTTTTCCCCTGCACCGAGCAGCAGCTTCTGCCTGGCTGCCGCCACTGCTGCCACTGCTCACCGTTGGCGAGCAAGTCCGGAGCAGGCATGGGGTGGGCTGGGGTCGGGGTTGTATATGCATGGTCCAGCTGGTCGGCTCTGGTACGTTCTGCTGGCCCAAGTCTAGAGATGGTGCGGGGTAGGCCGTATTTTGCCCACCCTTGGTCAAAACGAATGCGTGCAATTAATGCTTGTTACAAAAATTAACACACTAATTTGTTTTGTGTTGATTGCATACATTAACTGCATTTAACTGTCAACCCTAATTTTTTTAATTGTTTGTCAGCCCCATTGAATTCACTTTTCTCATTCTTCTTTCCATCTCATTCTTTTTTCTATCGCTTTTCTAATGTCTTACCCAAAGTAAGACATTAAAATCGTTCATCTATCTGAAACCGAGGGCAGTGGCTAATAGCAAAATATATGGTACTGATTTTTCATAAGTGAACTCTGGATAGATTTTTTTGTTTCTTTTTCAGATTAAAGAACAGAAAATTGTAGTTGATGAGCTTTCTAACTTGAAGAAGAACAGAGTGAGTAATGGCAAAGTGAATAGCAAACCATGAGAAAGCAGACACTGCAATATAGCAGATACGTGGTATGAGTTTGTCTTTTTTTAAGACAGTGTTTAGATATTGACTCCAGTGAACTTCCCCAAGCGATTTGTTTTTCATGAGTTGATCTCATCTATTTCAGCAGCGTAAGACCTCCCAGAACAAAGTAACGCACTCTCTTCACTTAAGTTACAAAGGTGCTTAAATTCCCATGGATTTCTGTGGGAAACAGCCCTTTAACATCTTTGGATTTGAGCCTT